ACCGAAAATATATATGAGAACTATGTACAAAAGACAACCGATTACAATATAATTTGACAAATTTATTTTTGTACCAAATTCCGTCACTCGTTCCAAATTTCATTGGAATTGAACATACATATCATATTTGGTGCAACTGAATTCCTTCACACCGCCCAAATTTAATTGAAATTGAGGATACATAGAGTGTTTGAAACAGCGTTCGAAAATAAACAGTATGTTCGGTGCAATATGTTCTGTGCTGTTTTTGATAATGCAAGAAATTACTGATACAATACAATATTATGAAAATAAAAGCTGAATCTTTTTATTTATTATGTATGTTTAGATTGGTTGCGACATTGAAGACAGTAGAAAAATATGATAATAGGTAGAAAAAATAAAAAAGGACCAAATCTGAAGTGATAATAATTCGTATTTAACCATTGAAATTTGAAAATTTTAATTTTTCGCGAAAAAAGGTATTTTAATGGTTGCGTTGTAATGAGTTATTATGCAGATAATTTACCTGCTATTTTGTGGTAGGTGCAAAAAAACTAAATATTTTACAAAGTATGGCTGAGTGTTTAATGTCAGTTTTATGACTTCGGTGTCAATGTCCTGTCTTTCAATTCTTATCAAACGTTCAGTTAATAATTACAAAAATAGTATTCTTTTAGATATGTTCAATACATATGAATTAAACATTAACGAAGTTGTGTGTAATTTTCAAATTTGTAATTACAAGATTTTAAGTGCACATTCCGGAAATGTAGGAAGACATCCGGAGCAATATGCAAACTATATCGAACAAAAATGCGCAATGAAAATACAAAATTGTGCAAAAGTCAATGGGATTTTTATTTTATACAAATAATTCAATCTTATACAAACAATTATCACCACCACAGGATGTGAGTGATGAGTTATAAGATATTGGCGAATGAGGCGGAGCCTCCAAAATCGAAGCTCTATCCTCGGAACGAGGAGTAGGCTGATTGACTGTATTAATCTCGGAACGAGATATAGTCCTATTACCTACGATAGCCTGAGGAGACGATGTCGCCATTGATGACTTAGGTGGAGCCCGAAGTTCATTTAACTTTCTGTTTATGTGTCAGCGGCAGTGATGTCCTCACCTGAGCTGTCTTCTTTTGCAAAATAATTGAGACACTTGTCAAAAACGGTTTTCACCTCTTCCCACAACGTTCCGACCTCAGCTCCCTGTAATTCCAGAATATAGATATCGAGCTCGTCGTCCCCTTGGGAGCTGAAGTTGGCATCAAATTTAGAGGTGTGAGTGGCATTTTATTTCATATAAATGAACGTTATTCAGAAAAAAGTTGGAAAAATATCTTAAGCTTTCACAGAAAACTGTATATTGTTTTAGAAAAACTTCAAGAAAAGTAGCACAATTGAAAACCAATTTGTACTATGAAAAGACACGTAATGTCGAACAATTTCTGTGAAAACCCAAAAAAGTGAAAGTTTTTCACAAACACGTGATGCTTTAAGAAAATTAATGTGTTTTATGAAAAATACACTGATTTTATAATTAGTCCTTTACTAATCGTAATGAGGTATCGTAGATACGGCAAAAATATTGAGATTTAACGTGAATAAACCACAAATGTATAGAAATTTTAAGAAAACAATATTAAAAATTAACTCACAATTTCTCTCAGTGTATTCCAAATTTCGTAAAATATATACATTGTATCGTAGAATATCTGCAAACTATAGCAAAGTATCGACGATAACTATTGCCAAAGAAAAATTATCAAAAATTTTTAATAATCAAAATATCGAAAAAAATATTAAAAATTTCAATAAAACCGACTGTAGGGTGCACGGACTGTAAGATGCATATTTTCAATCGGTAGCGAACAACAATAAAATATTTAAAACAAAAATGTTTTGTAAAAAAAATAAATAATTTTTGATTCAATATATAGGCCCGTTCTTATATCTTCCCTTTATAGTCCACTTTTGTTATCCCTTACTTTAGGAAAAGTAAAGGATAAAGTTCACATTATCGGATTCTCATTATTACATCTTTCCTCTAAAGTATATGCATTTCTTACAGAGATATGGCAAGCTTTTCGTAAATGTAACTGGTAGTCACAGCATTTTTTTCACAATGGCATCTTCATTTTAGGTTGAAAATAATAAACAAAACGAATTTGTGAAATTTCGTGAAATAAATTTATAATTCAGTTCTTCAATATAAAATAAATGAGTTGCGTTATCCATTTCTTTATTTAAATATATTTTGCTGTTATTGTCATATTATCAATATAAAATATGGCAACATGAATTCAGTAAACTTTATGTTAAAAGATAAAGGAAAGTTGGTCTGGCCTTTTGCTTATCGGACAGTTTTTATTTAAATGAGACTTGTAATAACGAAAAACGATTTATGTGTCCGACAACATCACTTTTTTATCTATCGGAAAAATGTAATAACCGATCATAATATGTTTATGTTAATTAATAAGACCGAATATAGGGTGCACAGTGCCGAAAACACAAATTAAATTAAATATTAGTTGATGTCCGAAGGATTCAACACAACAAATATCCGGAAATGGCACAAAAGTATTTTTATCAATTTGTTGGTAATATTAGGAAGTATGAACACCCCTAATAAATGTGATCATATGTTACTTATATGTAAGTGTCAAATATGTCACAAGGTGGCAACAATCGGCAACAGGTGTGTCTGGTTACATTTCCAGCAGGAAGTGTCCAGCAACTTCTTTCCATGATCCAAGTATAAGGTCACCCTTAATTAACCTTAAATTAACTGTCAAACCAATTTTTAAATTGAAAATTTTGAATGAAAAGTTATTCAAATTTCCAAAAATTATTGAAAAATACATATCAACAACCTACGATTGGTGTCGTATAAGAAAATTTATAAAATGTACTTATTTTTGAAAAAAAAAAAACATTTTAAAAATTTTTACATATTTACAGTGCAGTATAGCTTTTATACCATGGTAGGAGAATATGGGTAGATGCATCAACGCTTGGGAACATTGATATGTCAAAATTCTTAAAATATTTTTTTTTTTTTAAATAAGTACATTTTATAAGTTTTCTTAGACGGCACCAATCGGAGGTTGTTATGATATGCATTTTTCAACAATTTTTACAAATATCAAAAAATTTTCATTCAACATTTTTAATTTTAAAGTTTCGAATTTGAATGTGGTAATGGCCTGTGACAAGCAATGCCTATGTAGGTGCACGCCGTACAGGCCCTAATATAACGGCTATATTCGATATTTTAAGGTGTTAACAGTATTTTTGGCAAATGTTATATTTTTCGAAAATTTCCAAATTCGTTCTAAATGGTGGAGGGTATTCAAAGCTCGGCTAAAATCCTTATATTCGGTATTTGACGATTTTAGGTACAATACTCACCGAAATTGTTTGAGATGTCGTATTTGAAGTTCGTAATGGAAGCTACAGCCTGTGACAGAAAATTGTGTATGCAGTTCCAGGTCTTCGTATAGCTCCTATATAACGGTTCCTCCCTATGTACAGTGTTTTAATGATTTTGGCTACATTATACACCGTTTATTTCCAGTTTCGAATTTAAATATGGTAATGGCTTGTGACAAACAATGCCTATGTAGGTGCACGTCGTACAGGCCCTAATATAACGGCTATATGCGTTATTTTTAAAATGTTAACAGAGTTTGAGGCGAATGTTATCTTGTTCGAAAATTTTCAAATTGGTTCTAAATGGTGGAGGGTACCCAAAGATTGGCCCGTCCGATCTTACTGCTTTTTTACTTGTTTATACCCTCCACCATACTATTAACTTTGTCTTTCCGTTTGTAACTCCTCGAAATACTCATTTCAGACCCAAACAAGTTTACATATTCTTGATCAGAGTAAAATTCTAAGACGATTTAGCGATGTCCGTCTGTCTGTTGTAATCACGCTATCTTTCGAACGAATTGAGATAGAAGGCTAAAATTTTGCACACATGTTTATTTTTCCAGCAGGCAGGTTAAGTTCTTAAATGGGCCATGTAGGTCCACGTCTTCGTATAGCCCCCATATAACTGTACCTCCCGATATTCGGTATTTTAATGATTTTAGCGACATTATTCACCGGAATTGTTTCAAATTTGATATGAAGTTCCAAAGGGATAGTACAGCCTAAGACAGAAAAATTACTGTGCAGGTCCACGTCTTCGTATAGTCCCCATATAACGGTACCTCCCGATATTCGGTATTTGGATGATTTTATCGACATTATTCACCGCAATTGTTTCAAATTTGATATTTGAAATTCCAAAGGGATAGTGCAGCCTAAGACAGAAAACGGGCAATGTAGGTCCACGTTTTCGTATAGCCCCCATATAACGGTACCTCCCTATAATCGTTATTTTTATGATTTTAGCGACATTGTTCACCGGAATTGATTCAAATTACGTAATGGGATCTACAGTCTGTAACAGAAAATTGTCTATGCAAATCCAGGTCTTCGTATAGGCCCCATATATCAGTACCTCCCTATATTCGGTATTTTGACGAGTTTAGGTACAATACCCACCGAAATTGTTTGAGATGTCGTATTTGAAATTCGTAGTTTATGCTACAGCCTAAGACAGAAAATTGTCTAAAATTGGAACAGCTCCGATATAACAGTTCCTCCCTATATACGATATTTTGATGATTTTAGCTACATTATTCACCGTTTATTTCAAGTTTTCGAATTTGATTATGGTAATGGCTTATGACAAACAATGCCTATGTAGGTCCACTTCGTATAGACCCCAATAAAACGGCTATATTCGGTATTTTAAAAAATTAAACAAATTTTTTTAAGGATTTTATTTTTTGAAAATTTCCAAATTCGTTCCAAATGGTGGAGGGTATTTAAAGTTCGGCCCGGCCGAAATTAACTTATTTACTGTGTTATGGTTACCACCTTATGCGGTACTGTGGTGTGTATCCAGCTGCTCAGGGGAGCTTTTTGCTCAGGGTCGGTTCCAAATATTGTTATGGTTACCACCTTATGCGGTACTGTGGTGTGTATCCAGCTGCTCAGGGGAGCTTTTTGCTCAGGGTCGGTTCCAACCCTGACACCAACAGTCCAAGGGACCTAACAATTAAAAAAAAGGGGACATATTACAACATCAAAACAAACAAAAATACAAACACTGCATACACCGGTGACAAGGGTGCTTGGTGGAAATTGCACCCACACTTGGCCCACCCAACCTTGACCCTTATGTCCAATAATCGTTAAATATCTTAAGGGCCCCGCATTCCACTAACACTTACCACGCAATTTACACCCTATATTCCCCCAAGAGTTTACAAATTAGCACATCATATCGACTATTAACACTTACACATATAAATAATTTATTGACATATCGAGAGTTGACTTAATCCTAACAAATAAATATTTGAACAATGTTGACTTTAAAATTCCTAACACCTGAATCTGTCTTTATGTGAGCCAATCGCTCGGGCTACTACAGTCTACGAAGAGTACATAAAAATTTTTGCCAAACTGGCCACTTTAAGCATCTACTCCCTCCCTAATAGAGCTCTGTTAAGGGGGTATTATGGACGTTACCTTATGTCCAAAATTACCAATAAACTGGAACTCTCCCTTCGTATGACGGTCTAACCCTACGCTCAGGTATATAACCGGGCGTTAGAAATTTTCACAATATAAAAATCTTAACCTAAATTCTATACACTAAGGACAATCACACTTAAACTACAGACAATTACATTAAATTAAACTAGTCAGTACAAAATTTTGGTGTCATTCCATTTTTCATTCAAATTAATCATTAATCAAAATTCTCTTCTTTTTTTTCCAGGCCGCAGGAGGAAGATATATATATGCCACTTGGCCGCACCAACCGTTCAGGACTCGGTAAGTTTTAATAATACAAATTATTACCTGGAGATTCTGTACTTATATATTTTCTTTTCTTTCCAGATATTGATGATCTTTTTGACCTTTTCGGCATCAGACCTACCGAGCCGACCACTGTTTGAATACCGGTACTTTGGCGGACCGGGGCTTGGCCTCACTCACGGACTTTCTGGGCAGCAGCGCTTCTCTTGCGTTTATATAAAAAAATTTACTGACCTCCTCCACCGAAAACTTGGAGGGGTCAGATATCTAGCCGTCTTTTGTTGGGGTGTTATCTTAAAAGAAAAAACACAACATCGAAACACCAAAAAGACATACACTATTAGAACAACAGAAACTTACAAAATTTTGGTCACACACACACATACACAACAATCGGCCAATAAAAAATAAAAAAATTTACGAAAACTTTAATTCCACTATCTTGGTGTTTTTATGGGATCACTTTTTTTTTAAATTTTTGCTTAGAAAACTTGTTCTTGCCAGTTTACCAAAACTTCAATGGCGAATTTTCTGTCCGTTACCCCTTTTATACGGCAGCCATTGGACGCGATCTTCCCACTTTTCCTTTTTTTTTTTGTTCTCCCTTGTTTATTCTCTTCCTCTTTGATCGCACTTGGCGAGCCCTATCGTTACCCATGGTTGCATATGATCTTAGTACCATGTACTAAGAGGAACATTGGCAGCACTTTGACACCCAACCGTATCCGGTTCATTCATTTTTTTAAGATCGGCTGGAGCGGTAATTACAAGTGTAAATCCTCGCTCAGCCGATAATACAAAAAATTAATCTTCAGCAATCGCGGTACGCACGCAACAACTGTTAGCCTAGAAACATATATATGGACAAAATTTAATTTTGGTCCAAATTCTGCCACACATTCCAAATTTCATTGAAATATGGAAATTGGTGCATCAAATACACGAAATCGAACAAAATATGTATATAGGAATTATGTCCAAAACTGAACCGATTTCAATATAATTTTACAAATTTGTTTCCAGAATTAATTGAAATTAGAGATATATAGCGTGATTGGTGCATCAAATATATAAAATAGACCGAAAATATATATGAGAACTATATACAAAAGACAACCGATTACAATATAATTTGACAAATTTATTTTTGTACCAAATTCCGTCACTCATTCCAAATTTCATTGGAATTGAACATACATATCATATTTGGTGCAACTGAATTCCTTCACACCGCCCAAATTTAATTGAAATTGAGGATACATAGAGTGTTTGAAACAGCGTTCGAAAATAAACAGTATGTTCGGTGCAGTATGTTCTGTGCTGTTTTTGATAATGCAAAAAATTACTGATACAATACAATATTATGAAAAATAAAGCTGAATCTTTTTATTTATTATGTATGGTTAGATTGGTTGCGACATTGAAGACAGTAGAAAAATATGATAATAGGTAGAAAAAATAAAAAAGGACCAAATCTGAAGTGATAATAATTCGTATTTAACCATTGAAATTTGAAAATTTTAATTTTCCGCGAAAAAAGGTATTTTAATGGTTGCGTTGTAATGAGTTATTATGCAGATAATTTACCTGCTATTTTGTGGTAGGTACAAAAAAACTAAATATTTTAGTATGGCTGAGTGTTTAATGTCAGTTTTATGACTTCGGTGTCAATGTCCTGTCTTTCAATTCTTATCAAACGTTCAGTTAATAATTACAAAAATAGTATTCTTTTAGATATGTTCAATACATATGAATTAAACGTTAACGAAGTTGTGTGTAATTTTCAAATTTGTAATTACAAGATTTTAAGTGCACATTCCGTAGGAAGACATTTAAAGAGATCACGTCCGGAGCAATGAAAATACAAAATTGTGCAAAAGTCAATGGGATTTTTATTTCTTCTTTAATCTCCATTTATACAAACAATTCAATCTTATACAAACAATTATCACCACCACAGGATGTGAGTGATGAGTTATAAGATATTGGCGAATGAGGCGGAGCCTCCAAAATCGAAGCTCTATCCTCGGAACGAGGAGTAGGCTGATTGACTGTATTAATCTCGGAACGAGATATAGTCCTATTACCTACGCTAGCCTGGGGAGACGATGTCGCCATTGATGTCTTAGGTGGAGCCCGAAGTTCATTTAACTTTCTGTTTATGGGAGCTAATACTTTCAGATAACATCTAAATGCGACATCGTATTTAGTGTCAGCGGCAGTGATGTCCTCACCTGAGCTGTCTTCTTCTGCAAAATAATTGAGACACTTGTCAAAAACGGTTTTCACCTCTTCCCACAACGTTCCGACCTCAGCTCCCTGTAATTCCAGAATATAGATATCGAGCTCGTCGTCCCCATGGGGGCTGAAGTTGGCATCAAATTTAACCAAAGCATCAGTAGGATGAACAAATCTAGAGATGCGAGTGGCATTTTATTTCAAATAAATGAACGTAATTCAGAAAAAGTTGGAAAAATATCTAATATAAGTTTTCACAGAAAACTGTATATTGTTTTAGAAAAACTTCAAGAAAAGTAACACAATTAAAAACCAATTTGTACTATGGAAATCTTTAAAAAGAAAAGACACGTAATGTCGAACAATTTCTGTGAAAATCCAAAAAAGTGAAAGTTTTTCACAAGCACGTGATGCTTTAAGAAAATTAATGTGTTTTATGAAAAATACACTGATTTTATAATTAGTCGTTTACTAATTGTAATGAGGTATTGTAGATACGGCAAAAATATTGAGATTTAACGTGAATAAACCACAAATGTATAGAAATTTTAAGAAAACAAAATTAAAAATTAACTCCAAATTTCGTGAAATGTATACAGTGTATCGTAGAATATCTGCAAACTATGGCAAAGTATCGACGATAACTATTGCCAAAGAAAAATTATCAAAAATTTTTAATAATCAAAATATCGAAAAAAATATTAAACATTTCAATAAAACCGACTGTAGGGTGCACGGACTGTAAGATGCATGTTTTCAATCGGTAGCGAACAACAATAAAATATTTAAAACAAAAATGTTTTGTAAAAAAAATAAATAATTTTTGATTCAATATATAGGCCCGTTCTTATATCTTCCCTTTATAGTCCACTTTTGTTATCCCTTACTTTAGGAAAAGTAAAGGATAAAATTCACATTATTGGATTCTCATTATTACATCTTTCCTCTAAAGTATATGCATTTCTTACAGAGATATGGCAAGCTTTTTGTAAAAGTAACTGGTAGTCACAGCATTTTTTTCACAATGGCATCTTCATTTTAGGTTGAAATTTCGTGAAATAAATTTATAATTCAGTTCTTCAATATAAAATAAACGAGTTGCGTTATCCATTTCTTTATTTAAATATATTTTGCTGTTATTGTCATATTATCAATATAAAATATGGCAACATGAATTCAGTAAACTTTATGTTAAAAGATAAAGGAAAGTTGGTCTGGCCTTTTGCTTATCGGACAGTTTTTATTTAAATGAGACTTGTAATAACAAAAAACGATTTATGTGTCCGACAACATCACTTTTTTATCTATCGGAAAAATGTAATAACCGATCATAATATGTTTATGTTAATTAATAAGACCGAATATAGGGTGCACAGTGCCGAAAACACAAATTAAATTAAATATTAGTTGATGTCCGAAGGATTCAACACAACAAATATCCGGAAATGGCACAAAAGTATTTTTATCAATTTGTTGGTAATATTAGGAAGTATGAACACCCCTAATAAATGTGATCATATGTTACTTATATGTAAGTGTCAAATATGTCACAAGGTGGCAACAATCGGCAACAGGTGTGTCTGGTTACATTTCCAGCAGGAAGTGTCCAGCAACTTCTTTCCATGATCCAAGTATAAGGTCACCCTTCCAGCTCAGCTGATTACCATACGATCTGTCAATTAAATTTGAATTCGCTGCAACCAAAACAAACTTCAAAACTACAGTAGAAGAATACAGGTAGTCGCATCGCATAGTTGCTGGGAAAATTAACTGTCAAACCAATTTTTAAATTGAAAATTTTGAATGAAAAGTTATTCAAATTTTCAAAAATTATTGAAAAATACATATCAACAACCTACGATTGGTGTCGTATAAGAAAATTTATAAAATGTACTTATTTTTGAAAAAAAAAAACATTTTAAAAATTTTTACATATTTACAGTGCAGTATAGCTTTTATACCATGGTAGGAGAATATGGGTAGATGCATCAACGCTTGGGAACATTGATATGTCAAAATTCTTAAAATATTGTTTTTTTTTTTAAATAAGTACATTTTATAAGTTTTCTTAGACGGCACCAATCGGAGGTTGTTATGATATGCATTTTTCAACAATTTTTACAAATATCAAAAAATTTTCATTCAACATTTTTAATTTTAAAGTTTCGAATTTGAATGTGGTAATGGCCTGTGACAAGCAATGCCTATGTAGGTGCACGCCGTACAGGCCCTAATATAACGGCTATATTCGATATTTTAAGGTGTTAACAGTATTTTTGGCAAATGTTATATTTTTCGAAAATTTCCAAATTCGTTCTAAATGGTGGAGGGTATTCAAAGCTCGGCTAAAATCCTTATATTCGGTATTTGACGATTTTAGGTACAATACTCACCGAAATTGTTTGAGATGTCGTATTTGAAGTTCGTAATGGAAGCTACAGCCTGTGACAGAAAATTGTGTATGCAGTTCCAGGTCTTCGTATAGCTCCTATATAACGGTTCCTCCCTATGTACAGTGTTTTAATGATTTTGGCTACATTATACACCGTTTATTTCCAGTTTCGAATTTAAATATGGTAATGGCTTGTGACAAACAATGCCTATGTAGGTGCACGTCGTACAGGCCCTAATATAACGGCTATATGCGTTATTTTTAAAATGTTAACAGAGTTTGAGGCGAATGTTATCTTGTTCGAAAAATTTCAAATTGGTTCTAAATGGTGGAGGGTACCCAAAGATTGGCCCGTCCGATCTTACTGCTTTTTTACTTGTTTATACCCTCCACCATACTATTAACTTTGTCTTTCCGTTTGTAACTCCTCGAAATACTCATGTCAGACCCAAACAAGTTTACATATTCTTGATCAGCGTAAAATTCTAAGTCGATTTAGCGATGTCCGTCTGTCTGTTGTAATCACGCTATCTTTCGAACGAATTGAGATAGAAGGCTAAAATTTTGCACACATGTTTATTTTTCCAGCAGGCAGGTTAAGTTCTTAAATGGGCCTTGTAGGTCCACGTCTTCGTATAGCCCCCATATAACTGTACCTCCCGATATTCGGTATTTTAATGATTTTAGCGACATTATTCACCGGAATTGTTTCAAATTTGATATGAAGTTCCAAAGCGATAGTACAGCCTAAGACAGAAAAATTACTGTGCAGGTCCACGTCTTCGTATAGTCCCCATATAAC